TCTTTTGAGTCTATTTTCTTTCTGTTGCGGTGTAAGTTCTTGCACTTTTTGGAATTTCAATGGCTTTACCCCCAGGTCATTTTTCAATATTTGCCGATTGGAATATTGCGATATGTTCAGCTCACGAGCCATTTTTCGTCCACTGCGACGCGGGTTTCGATCAAGTCGCTTCTTTACTTTTCGAACCAATTCTGCTGATGTTGCTGTTTTATTCCGTCCACTTCATTGACGTCGAGCTACGCTACCAGTATCACGGTAACGAGTGATGGTACGAGACACAAAAGATTTATTCAGATTTAAATGCTGGAGTGCTCTAACGAAAGCCACTTGTGGTTTTCCAGCCAAATATAAATAAATCACACTATCACGCTTGAATTCCATCACAAATAACTTGTTTTGGAAAATTCTCACCAAAATGCTTTTGTACGCTTATAACAATATAATGAGCGGTCACTGCAATAATTTTAACAGCTATCGGACGAGTGCCTTAGAAAGACTACAGTCTGAAAATGGTTGCAATTTTTTCATCTCACCCTGTATATCTGGTATCATTTTTACTGTGTGCATATTATGGCTTTTAGGAGATTAAATATTAAATATCAATCGGATACCTGTACTTTGTCCCAAAAATTACATGTACAGACAGATGGACGGGTATTCATATGTACATCGTTCTATGCAAATCATCAAGGGGTACATCGGGTCTAACATGGTTCCTTCTGCTAAATGTACCACTCTGTTGTGTGGAGTATAAATGTCCATGATTGTGGCTCTTCTTATAGTCTGCAAGTTTTACGGGATTGAAAATTGGTTGTATCGGTGTCAGTTTTGTAATAGCTTCCATATACCAGTACGTCGGTATTTCAGATATTTCTAAGGTTGTAACCACATTTTCTAACCGAATTAGAATTTATACCCTACACCACATAGTGGTAAGGGTATTATGTCTTTGTGCATTTGTTTGTAACATGGAGAAGGAAACGAGATAGACCCATAGTTACTTTTGAGAACCTTCATAGAATCACTTTCTGAGTCGATTTACGCATGTCCGTCCGTCTGTCCATGTATTCTTGTGAACAAAATGCAGGTCGCATTTATTATCCGATTAAGATGAAATCGGATCAAATTTAGATATAGCTCCCATATATATCTTCATCCGATTTCGGGTTAAATGTGCACCAAATATCCACTATCAGTCCAAATTACCTGAATTTTGGCACACCCAACCGAGTTCGGCCTAGAAGCAAGTATATCAAATTTGGAGGAAATCGGTTCAGATATAGCTATAGCTCCCATATATATCTTTCATCCGATTTGATCTTTAAGTCCCTCACATTCCTACTATGCACTCCACAACCGTGATATTTGGTACCAGGTATTAGATGGAGCACAGAAATAGCTGTTTTAAATTTTATCGAAATCGGTTCAGATTTGGATATAGCTCCCATATATATCTTCATCCGATTTCGTGTTAATTGACCACCAAATGGCCAATATCAGCCCAAATGGCCCGAATTTTGGCACATGTGACCGAGATTAGCCTTAAAGCAAATACAAAAAATTTGGAGAAAATCGGTTCAGAAACAGCTACAGCTCCCTATATATCTTCATCCGATTTCGGGTTAAATGTGCACCAATGTCCACTATCAGTCCAAATTACCTGAATTTTGGCACACCCAACCGAGTTCGGCCTAGAAGAAAGTATATCAAATTTAGTGAAAATCGGTTCAGATATAGATATAGCAACCATATATATGTTTCATCCGATTTAGTGTTTCAGTCCCTTACATTCGTAATATTCACTCCACAACCGTGATATTTGGTACCAGGTATTAGATGGAGCACAGGAATAGCTGTTTTAAATGTTATAGAAATCGGTTCAGATTTGGATATAGCTCTCATATATATCTTCATCCGATTTCGGGTTAAATGTGCACTAAATGATCAATATCAGCCCAAATCACCAGTCTAGAAGCTAATACGTAAAATTTGGAGAAACCCGGTTCAGAGATAGCTATAGTTCGTAAAATGCACGATAGAATTAGATAGATTTTTATTTTGTACCAAATATCTCATAGAGCTCTGATATGCCCTGTATAAACCTTTTTGCGAGAGCTCTACTAAATATGCATAGTGGTGTAGGGTATCATATAGTCGGCCCCGCCCGACTTTTGAGCTTTCCTTACTGGTTTTTTTATATTAAGGATGTCGTCAATTCCGAAAAAATAGAATTTCGTTCTTGTTTTGGTATATCCTCCATTAAAAATGGTTAATTCGTTATTACCGCGTTTTCCAGCGGAAGTGGCTATATTTTATTGACGGGGATTCCCACTGATTATGGCAATTTTGTGCAAATATTCGAAATCAATTTACCTTGTTTATAGCCCAAGCAATGCAAAAGTGGAAAAATACATTTTATTAAATCTTTTCAGTAAATCTAAGACGGCAATACCTACAGTTTACCTTCTTTCAAGCTGAATTTGGTCTTAAATTCCCCAAGCACCCAATATTTACTTTTCATTTTTCCTTTTAGCACCTCCATCAATGTTTTCAAATAGAAATGAATTTGGTTAAAAAATACAAAACATTCATGCCGACCATTTGAGTCAGTATCCGTATGTCCCATTATGTCTGCATTACATTATCATCTTTGACTAATGACAATGCTTATATTTTGATGATTTCTTGTACACCACCATGAGTTGGAGTTATTCCAAAGATTTGCGTCTGCAATCCAACTATGTCACTAAGTTCGGTAGCATTGCCTTTTTGGATGCTAAAGTCGACGACTGCGACGACAACGACATCATCTCATTTTGCGGTCTATGACAGAAATGATGCAGACATCAGACACACACACGCACACACTGACAGCGGCAGCAGCCGCACCACCAGGGAGACCTGTTAATAATCTATCCGTATTATCTCCACACATAATATTCATACTAAGTAAACATTTGGTTCGTTTGGATACTTATTAAGATGACTGTATTTTTGAAATAGTTTTCGCTGCGGACGACATTAGGGGTTAGGGGGATCGGGGAGAACAAAGACAAAATCAACACACATGCCAAATGTTTTGCAGCAGACAAAGCAGACACAATGGAGTGCCGTTTGGCATTCACTAGTTACTGGTCATTAAATTGGAATTATGTTGGCTGTAAATTTACACAAATTTAGCATATCGCATTATTAAAAATGTGTTTTTATATTCGGATTTTCGTCTATTCATGGTCCGCATATGAACACAAATAAATTATGTTATGGTTTTATTGTAGATTTGAAAATTTGTTTGTTTTGTTAAGGCATTCTTTTTTTTTGGCGTTTTCAACAATAATGACTTGGCCTGTGTTTTTCAAATTAAAATATAAATATGTGTGATATACAAAATGCATTTACAATATTGGAATAATACGCAAAGGCGATAAGTGTCATTTGGTCGAATTTGGTGTATACTCTATCGGAATATGAACTCTGACGTATGTAAAGTTATAAATAGAAAATAATCATTACTTCCTGCTCACACTAGAATTTTCGCCCAAAAGATGTCATCATATACAAATAATCCCTCAAGCTCTTCTACAAAGGCAAACTTAAGCTCGTCTAAAAACACTCTCTTAACTAGCCTAGCTCGCCTAAAAAGAATTCGTTAAGCTCATCTAAAAAGACTTCCTTAAGATAGCCGTTAAACATGGACTCGAGCTCGTCTATAGAAACGACCTCCACAGCTCGTCTATAGAGACGACGACCTCCATAGCTCGTCTATAGAGTCGACGAACTCCACAGCTCGTGTATAGAGACGACGACCTCCACAGCTCGTCTATAGAGTCGACGACCTCCACAGCTCGTCTATAGAGACGACGAACTCCACAGCTCGTCTATAGAGACGACGACCTCCACAGCTCGTCTATAGAGACAACGAACTCCACAGCTCGTCTATAGAGACGACGACCTCCACAGCTCGTCTATAGAGACGACGACCTCCACAGCTCGTCTATAAAGGCCCCCTAAGAGCTTGTCTATAGAGACGACGACCTCCACAGCTCGTCTATAAAGGCCCCCCTCAGAGCTTGTCTACAAACGCGTTCTTCCGATCTCGTCTAAAAATATGCCTTTCAGAGCTCATCGTCAAAGACGCCATTCCGAGCTTGGCTATAAAGACGCCTCCTATTAAATTGCCCTATAGAGCTTCTATAAAAACGCCATTCAACGCATCTAAAGGGACGTAGTTTAGATCGTCAATAATAACATCCTTCAGCACGTGTAGAAGGACATCTTTCAGCTCGTCTAAAAGGACGTCTTTCAGCGCGTCTATAAGTCGTATTTTAGCTCGTCTATAAGAGCGTCCTTTAACTCCTCAATAAGGACGTCGTTTAGCTCCTCTATAAGGACGTCCTTTAGCTCCTCTATAAGGACGTCCTTTAGCTCCTCTATAAGGACGTCCTTTAGCTCCTCTATAAGGACGTCCTTTAGCTCCTCTATAAGGACGTCATTTAGCTCCTCTATAAGGGCGTCCTTTGGATCCTCTATAAGAACATCATTAAGCTCCGCTATAAGGACGTCCTTTAGCTCCTCTGTAAGGATGTCTTTCAGCTCGTCTAAGAGGACGTGTTTCAGCTCGTCTATGATGACATCTTTCAGCTCTCCTATAAGGACGTTCTTCAGTTCAGCTTCTCTATAAGGACGTCCTACAGCTCTTCTATAAGGCCGTTCTTCAGTTCAGCTTCTCTATAAGGACGTCCTTCAGCTCCTCTATAAAGATTATCTTCCTATCCACTATATATACTCTCTTCCGCTCTTCTAAAGAGATTTTCTATCGCTCTTCTATAGAGACTCTCTTTTGCTCCTCTCTTCCGATCCTCTATAGATACTCTCTTTCGCTTCTCAAAAGAATTGTTCCTCTATAAAGAGTATAAATGCTTCTTTCTAGAGATTATCTCTTGAACTCGTCGTTTGTGACCCTATGCAGCTCATAAACCTTTTCTCTTTATTTTTTTCAGTCTTCGATGAATCAAATACTCTTTGAAAAATATCAGCAACATGCATCGGAACAGCTTCATAGAGAATCCCAGAAATCACCCTTTGAACGCAGGACTAGAATTAGCAATGACGAAGATGAGAGCAGACGAGAAACACCCCATAAAGCATCCTCTGATTGCGAGGAAATTGGACAGCATATCAAAACCGAACCTATGGCCGATGAACCTGAAGATGTGACAAAATCACGAGCAGAAATAGAAGAGGCCGATGAAGATGATGCTTATCGGGAGGCAACATCTTCGCCACCCAGTCATACAAGTTACTCTTTCCATTCGGCTGGTGCTATGGCGATGGGAGGTTTATTGCCACCACCGCTGGCCACCGCATCATCGGATGCCTCGGAACATTCGCTGATGAAAATGCAAATGCGTAAGTAATCGATTAGTATGTAAGTTATTTGGTTGCCATTCAATAGCCATACCACAAAAATGTTTGAAAACTTTATAGTAACCACAATTCCTCATCAATTTTCGAATTCCCATTCGACATCGATGTTGCAACACCAACAACAACACAACCACCACTTAGAAGCTCATCGTTTTCCTGCAACACCATTGGATTTCCAGCAGGCCCTCATGTCGGTGGGTCCACCAACATCCAGTCTGGATCCGCCAGTGAATAATAAACATTTCTGTCATATTGTCGAAGGAATTTCAGTTCCAGTTCTGCTCTACAAATACACATGCGTACGCATACGGGCGACAAGCCGTTTCAGTGTAATGTGTGTCAGAAGGCTTTCACCACAAAAGGCAATTTAAAGGTAGGTGATGGGAGGGCTAAGATGGGTGAGAGCGGGATTTGTTATATGTTGTGTTTTCGTTTTTAGGTTCATATGGGCACCCACATGTGGACAAATCCAACATCCCGCCGTGGACGTCGGATGTCTTTGGAATTGCCCATACATCGACCGGGCGGTAGTATGCCACCAGAATCGGAATTTCTACCCCGAAGACCGGATATATTTTTTCCATATTTACCACCGTTTTTAATGGTCTACCACCAAAGGTAAGTTGCCGTGCTATTAAAACATATCACGTATTGAAATGATTTTGAGATCTGGAATTTTCCATGTTTGAGGAAACCTTTTCTTAGATTTTTTTGTGGAAGGTCTAGAGGGCCCTTGTGACTTTTTATGTGACTCTTGATTACAGTATGTACCAAGAAAACCTTCATAAGGTCAATGGGCTTCTAACGATATTCTGTCAATAATCTTAGTTTCTATTTATGACAGATCTTTGCCATTTTAAGAAGGTCTTCCAATGAAATTTTATTTTTTAAGACCTGACAGATAATTCCGTTTATAGTCCCTCATAAGCCTTCCAATCTCGCTTAGCCAGAGTATATAGAAAACCTGTAAAAGGTCACTGGGCTTCTTAAGATATTCAGTCTATGGTAGGCTTTCAAAAGGCCATCTAACTTTGAAGAGTATTCAGAAGGCTTCTTTTTATAGAAGAACTTTGACAGGCTTTCTATATTTCGAAGGCATTCAAATGAAATTCTACTTTTAGAAGAGTGGAAACATAATTCATATAAATCCTTCGAAATATCTTGTCTACTGAAATCCCTCAAAAAATCTTTCCAAATGGGTTATTTTCCGACAACTCCTAAACAGGATTTATACATTAGAAAATTTTTGTATTAACTTTCCTGTCCAGGATATCCTTACAATATTTATACATTAAGGATTTTCTATCTAAGAATGTTTTCCAAAAGTTCTCCTTTAACTTTATGTGATCTTCCTTATATTGAAAAATATTTTATCTTTCACCTTCTGCCAAATAATCTCCCAAAAATTAATTTGTTTTACTCTTTGCTCTCTCTCTCTCTCTTTCTTCTTTATTCCTGCTTTCTTTCTAGCCCGGTGATTTGAATTCAACACCTCCATTCCCGCCCCACATAAATCCGCCTCATTTGCCAAATGGCACAAACTCCGGGCCACCAAAATATCCACCACCTGGCTTACCGCTGGGATTTCCACCATTCCTACAACCTCCCTATGGCTTCAATCCCATGCTGAATCAGGCTCACTTGGAGCGACAAAATAATGCAAAAACCCCGCAAAATCAAGATGAGGACACCACCTCAATGGAACCAAAGAATTTACAGCAGCAGCATAGCAGCGGCAGTAGTAGTCGAGCAGCATCTCCACAACAGCATCTACATCAGCATCATCACTCGCTAAGAACCTCACCAATGGAGAAAGAGGATGCGATGACGTCATCGACATCCAGTTCACTCTGGAATCCAATGATAAAAATTAAAACTGAAAACAATCAAAATGATATTAATCATCTGCAGGATCATAACAGTGAGTCATCTAATCAGGATTAGTTTCATGAAATGGTCCCAAGGATTTGAAATTAATATGGAAATAAAAATGGGATAACCAAAATATCTACAACTTAAACTTAGTGACTTTAAGAGAATCTATCTATACATGCAGACACACACGCATTCACACACACACACACAAACACATATATGATATATATGAGAAAAAGAAATGATTGAAAATCATGGTTTTTAAGGAGTACATATCTTAAAGCTAACAGTCTTTATTTCTCCTCCACCTCTTCGGAGAGGAGATAATATTTTTTCTAGGCTTAAAATCACTTAGTACTAGAGATTAAAGTAATGAAAATGCAGACTAACACACACACACATGCCCACACAGAGAATTAGTTTTAGTTATTTTAGCATATAACCTATACAAACTTACACCTAATTATATTATTACAAACAAAAGCGATACGAGCAGCAGTATAATAATGAGGGAAAAAAAATTGATTGGTATTTTTATTTCAAAATCACACACACACATGCATTGCAAAGAAATGAAATTGCATTTTAGCTTTTAAGCTGTAAAAAGTCGTTCATTTTTTAAGTTTAAATTGTAGTGGCTAAATATATCTAAATGGCCAGAGGAATGATTAAAATATTAAAAATAGGAATAATATGGAAGTACTTATAAATATAATATAAAATATTATACATATGGCCGTAATATCATAACAAAACAAAAAAAAATCTTAAAACAAAATTATAGTGAAACCTGTGGTAGTTGCATATGAAATTAAATTATAAATTATAATTCATTGAGAAATGAAAGAAAGAAAACAAGAATAAATAAAGATATTAAAAATAAAATGCACTGATTATTATTTTTGGTGGTGAGTATCGGTGAGTAAAAAACCCATATGCATTTTAAACATAAACTGTAAACGGATAGAAGTAGAATTATAAAATTTGGGATGAAGGTCACTGATGGTGTATTGGATAGATGCACTAATGTTTTTTTTTTTAAATTCAAACTAACAGTGTACTAAAACTACCAAAAAACACCACAGAGGAGGTGGTTTTGTAATGTGTACTAAGTGTAATTTGGATTTGGGTGAACTAATGGAGCTGGAAATTTGAAATGTTTATATTGGGGTCACTCTTAGAGTGTACCAAATAAGTAAAAAGTATCAGTCGGTTTTTTCGACAGATATATACCCTGAGCTTATATAAAATTATATGCAACAAATTGTTTTCATATATTTGATATTTTCCCTCATAGAACAGTGTTGGCTTATTTGTTCTGGATACCATAGTACATTGTTGTTGCAAAATTGTCAGGCTTATTCCCTTTATTGTTGTTTTTATAAAAACAACGTTTGTTTATTGGTGGAGAACGATGGTAATGTTTACCAAGGGGTAAGGCAGGGAAAGAGCCACCAATTATCATCAGTTGCCTTATTTTTTGCTTGGGATATTCTCCCCAGAAGGTATTTTAAAAACATTTAAAATTTATTTTCATATATAAAATTACGAGGGCGGTTTGGAAAATTCTTAGCCTATCAATGAATGAGAACAGTTAGTTTAAAAAAAATATTTTATTTTTTAATACGATCTCCTGAAATTTCAATACACCTACGAGGGCAGTTCGGAGATTTCTTAGCCTAGCACAAAAAGCGCGGTATAAACTGTAGCTAAAATCATCAAAATATAGGGAGGTACAGTTATATCGGAGCTGTGCGAAGACCTGGGCCAGCAGGTACCAGGTGTACCTAAACTCGTCAAAATACTGAATATAGGGAGGCACTGGTATATGGGGTCTATACGAAGACCAAGACCTGCATAGACAATTTTCCGTCACAGACTGTATTTCCCATTACGAACTCTAAATGAGCAATTTGAAACATTTCCGGTGAATAATGACGCTAAAATCATCAAAATAGCGAATATTGGGAGGTACCGTTATATGGGGGCTATACGAAGACGTGGATCTGCACAGACAGTTTTCTGTGATAGGCTGTAGTATCCATTACGAACTTCAAATACCAAACTTTAAACAATTCTTGTTAATAATGTCACTAAAATCATCAAAATACCGAATATGAGGAGGTACCGTTATATGGGGTCTATACGAAGATGTGAACCTGCACAGAAAATTTTCTGTCGTAGGTTGTAGTATCCATTTCGAACTCCAAATACCTAATTTGAAACAATTTCGGTGAATAATATCGATAAAATCATCAAAATACCGAATATCGGGAGGTACCTTTATATGGGGGCTATATGAAAACGTGGACCTACATGGCCCTGCCTACTGGAAAAATAAACATGTGTGCAAAATTTTAGCCTTCTATCTAAGTTCGATAGCGTATTAAAACAGACGGACAGACAGGCGGACATCGCTTAATCGACTTAGAATTTTACACTGATCAAGAATATATATACTTTGTCGTGTCTAAAAAGTATATTTCGAAGTGTTACAAACGGAATGACAAACTTAATATACCCTCCATATTATGGTGGAGGGTATAAAAATGAACACATGTTAAATGTTGTTTCGATCTGGCAACTCCTTCATATAGAAACAGGTGTTCAAAAAAGACGCATCCGCAATTTCTATATCCTACACCACATAGTGGTAAGGATATTATGTCTTTGTGCATTTGTTTGTAACAGGGAGAAAACAGTGAGATATACCCATAGTTACTTTTGACTATCTTCATAGAATCACATCCTGAGTTGACTTATACATGTCAGTCCGTCCGTCTGTCCATGTATTTTTTTGAACAAAATGCAGGTCGCATTTATAATCCGACTGAGATGAAATTTTGCAAAGAATATTTGTTTGACGAACCCTATTGAAATTGGTGAGAGTTGGTTCATATTTATATATAGTACCCATATATCTTCAACCGATTTTGGGTTAATTGTACACCAAATAGCTAATATAAGTCCAAATGATCTTTATTTTGGTACATACACCGAATTCAGTCTAGAAGCCGCTAAATGAAAAAATCGGCTCAGATATAGCTATAGCTACCATATATACAAGGTGAGATGAAAAAACTGCAACCAACTTCAGACTGTTGTCATATCCAAGCCACTGGTCCAACAGCTGTAAAAATTATTTCAGTGACAGCTCATTATATTGTTTATTAAGTTATTCGTGATGGAATTCGTAGCCCGACATTCTTGATGTCATGGACGGAAAAAAAAACAGCAACATCAGCAGAAATGGTTCGAAAAGTAAAGAAGCGACTTGATCGAAACCCGCGTCGCAGTGGCCGAAAAATGGCTCTAGAGCTGAATATATCGCAATATTCCATTTGGCAAATATTGAAAAATGAGCTCGGGGTAAAACCATGAAATTCCAAAAAGTGCAAGAACGTACACAGCAACAGAAAGAAAATAGACTCAAAAGAGCTAAAGAGTTGCTTCGCTTGGCCGAAAGTGGTGAACTGCCGAATTTGGTTTTCTCCGTCTCCGATTAGAAAACATTCGTTGTCCAGCGGTTTGTAAACAAACAAAATTATCGTGTTTACTTGCCAAAGAGGTTAGCTGAAAATGTGCACCTTCGGTTGGCCACCATAACAGCCGCTCGTATTAATCGACCGTGGCATAAAAATAAATGCCGAATATTATCGCGAAAATATTCTGGAGGGTGTATTAAAACCTTGGGCATGCAAACATTTTGGCCGCAGACCTTGGACATTCCAACAGGACTCAGCACCATCTCAGTCAGCACGCGTCACCGAAGAATGGTTATAAAATAAGGTTCCTCACTTCTTTTCCATCGCGCAATGGCCACCAAAATCTCCGGATACCAATCCGTTGGACTATTGTGTCTGGAGTATTTTGGAAAGCAAGGTTGACTCTAAAAAATACCAAAGTTTCGATCACCTCAAGCAAACGATTTGCCGGGAATGGGCCAAAATACCGCAGTGCAACATTCGGGCAGCGTGTGACGGTTTCATTGGCAGTTTGAAGGCCATAATAATTGTAAAGGTTGGTGCTATTTCCGACATTTTTTGCTTTCATCCAATAAAATTTAAGAAAAATGTAAAAATTATGGCGTTTGACTTTGTTGTTCAAATATTATTGTTGTGGAGTGCATATTATGCATGTGAGGGAGTTAAAATCCCAAATCGGATGTAAGATATACATTGGAGCTAAAGCTATATCTGAAGCTTGACAAAAATAAGGCACTTATTTCGGAGCTGTGTCTGATAACTTTTACCGCAGACATATTACGCATGTGAGGGACTTAAAACCTTAAATCGTATGAAACATATATATGGGAGCTATATCACAACCGATGTTCACCAAGTTTGAAGTACTGCATTATACGATGAATTCAGTCGTAATTGCCAAAATTCAGTCTATTTGGGCTGATATTAGCCATTTGGTGCATAATTAACTTGATATCAGAAAAATATATATATGGAAGCAATATCCAAATCTGAACCGATCTCGATAAAATTTGATAGAGGTATGTTTGAGCAGTATCTGATGTCCGGTACCAAATATCATTCTTTTGGAGTGCATATTATGCATGTGAGGGATTTATACCCCCAAATCGGATGAAACATATATATGGGAGCTATAGCTATATCTGAACCGATTTTCTCTAAATTTGATATACTTGTTTCTAGGCTGAATTCGGTAGGATGTATCAAAATACAGGTCAATTGGACTTATATTGGCCATTTGGTGCAAAATTAACCCGAAATCGTTTGAAGATATATGGGAGCTATATCTAAATCTGATCCGACTATCACCAATTTCAATAGGGTTCATCCTTTGTCCAAATAAATATTGTTCGCAAAATTTCATCTCAATCGGATAATAAATGCGACCTGCATTATGTTCACAAGGATACATGGATAGAAAGACGGGCTTATACGGAATCGACTTAGGAAGTCATTCTATGAAGATCTTCAAAAGTACCAAGTATAGGTCTATCTCGCTTCCTTCTCCTTTTTCCAGTTAAAAAACTTATTCACTTTTTTTGCTTTCCTGAATATTTACTTATGTAGTTGTTTTCAAAAACAACAGATAGTTAGTGAATTTTGTTAAAATAAAAAAAAGAAAACTTACTTTATCTCTCTAATTCCGTAATATTTTTATAATGTAGCAAAACATCCGCAAAACATTTTCTCATGAGGTTAGAAATAATTAAGGAATTGGAACAATATAAATCGCCTTCGAAGTTTTATCACTAGGTATAACAACGAAATAAATTTATAATACTATCTCAACCCAACAGCATCATTTTTTGTTGTTGTCGTTTCCTTTTGTTTTAATTCAATTGAAATTCATATACTTAAAGATCAGTTTTTTTTTTTAATAAAATTCATTACACATGCGTATGAAAATTGGCACGTTCCACCACCAAGGAAATATCACACACGCCAGCACATTCATCTTCGTTTTTTGGTTTATGGCGCTGCATAACATCCAGTGAAGGGTAAGTTGTAAATCAATGAAATAAACATATGTTTTAATTCGAACCACTTATCACATTCGATAACACCCACTCTACGCATCCTCCTTCGAGTGACTTGAAGGGAAGAATCGAAATCACAAATAAGAAAAAACGAAACAAAACGACACTAAACTAAACTTCCTATTTGAATTCATTGATAATATTAAGCAATTGGGGGATGGATGGAAGAAACAATTGTTGCTGGTAAATGATATTTCAATGTTGAATAAAATTCCAAATATTTTAACTACATTTTAAAATTGTTTCCAAAAAACCAACAAAAGCTGGCATATCATA